GGTCACCCTCCTCGGTTGGCTTCGGGCCATTCTGGGACATGCCGCCGTGAGGACTGGGTTGTGGGGGAAGCAGAAAGGGTAGGCTGGTTCCATAGTGTCCCAGGTATGCGACGCGGCCGTCATGACCTGTCACCCAGGAGGGGAGAGGAGGCACAGGAGCTGAAATCTGAGATTTTCATGTGTGTCCCCAAACGGGACAAGAGATGGACGCTGGGGGAATAAGGAAGGTGCAGAAAGTGCGCTAAGGTTTGTCGTTCTGTCTGTGGTGAACTTCCTCCCTGGCTAGGAGGTCACAGCTGGGAGAAACGTAAAGATGGAAATAAGACGGAACAACAAATGGAATAAAAGGATAAAAAAAATCTTCAAACGGAAACAAAGATACTGATCCAAATGCTCTATTTCTGTAAGGAAGGATCCATTCCTATTTCAGGAAGAATTCCGAGTTCTCACTGGGATAAGGGAGGGACACTGGACGTGTCCATGTCCCCTTTCATCGTGTGTTGCTGTTGGGCAGGTGCCTCCTGAGGAGCCCGGGACGCCCAGATCACGGCCCCCCCACCAGCAGTGGGTCCGTCACACACGCAAGCCCCACCCACCTGCCCCACTCCAAGCCCGCGGTGACCTCCGCCTCCTTGAGGGTCCCATCGTGGCCCCGGGTCAGCGCAGCCCATGAGGGCCTTTCCAAACACAACGCTGCGGCCCACAGACCGGCCACACACGCAGACCACACAGATGGCGCTGGGCCCCGCAGCCACCCGCCGGACAGCGGACCCTCACCTGTGACAACCCGCCCGGAAGGCAGCTGTCTGCAGTGACCGTTCAGGCGCTGAAGTCATTTCTGTAACAATCAGCCCCAAATGCCTCCACTCCAGTGACAATGACAGCTGTCCTGACTTCTGTCCCTGCCCCACCTTGGCCAACCAGAGAGACCCAGGTGTGCCCCCCGCCCCAGTCACGGGGGCGCCCCCTCCCCAGGCCCACGGCCTCCCCACTGAGCCCCTTTTGTGCTGGGGGCTCCCAACTGCCCTGCCTGCCCTGGCTCTCTGCCCGACCCTCCTTCCGCAGGCCTGAGGGAGGGGGTCTCTGCCTGGTCTCTGTGCCGGCCCTCCGGCCTCCTCCACTTGCCCACCTGAGTCCTCCTGCGTGCCTTGGGACCCGTCAGCCTCCATCTCACTGCAGGGTGAGCGTCTGCTCTACAGCCCAGCCTGCCCAGCCTCAGCCTCAGCCTCCCCAGCCCCCCAGCCCCAGCCTCCCCAGCCTCCCCAGCCCTCCAGCCTCAGCCTCCCCGGCCCCCCAGCCCCAGCCTCCCCAGCCTCCCCAGCCCTCCAGCCTCAGCCTCCCCAGCCCCCCAGCCCCAGCCTCCCCAGCCCCCCAGCCCCCCAGCCTCAGCTTCCCCAGCCTCCCCGGCCCCCCAGCCTCCCCAGCCCCCCAGCCCTCCAGCCCCAGCGGCCAATGCCCCCCGGGAGAGGCCTCTGAGCATGCCGTCCCCTCCAGTCCTCAGGGTCTGTGTATTTTCCCCACAGCTCCCAGTTGACCTTCCCCTTGCCACACACAGCAGCCTGTACAGTGCTTGTATACAGCAGGTGCTCTGTAAATACCCTTGGCTGGCTGGCTGAGGATTCAGACGGCCTGGTCTCAGCGGCCCTCCTGATCATGAGAAGACTGCTGGGGACACGTGAGCATCTATGGGCTGAGGGCCCTGTCTCTGCTCCCAGCATTTTCTGCTGGAGCGGGTGAAGCAGCCACCGTCAGGGAGGGGCTGGAGGCTGGAGGTACAGTTCCAGGGGCCACGGGGCTGCTTTGTCTGGCCTGTAGGCATGGCCCCCACTGCACAGAACCCCCCCCGCACAGCCCCTTCCCCCGCTGCACAGACTCCCCCTGGCTGCATGCCCCTCCCCCCCCGCTGCATGGCACCCTCCCAGGCTGCACGGCACCCCCCAGCTGTATGCCCCCCTGGCTGCATGGTTCCCAGGCTGCACATCCCCCCTCCCCGATGCACAGATTCCCCCCCCTGCCCCCCCGGCTGCTTGGGCCCCGTCACCTCCTCCCCCAGGTCACCGGAGGCCCCGAACGGCTTCCACAAGAATTTGGGAGACGCGTTCAGTCCATAAAGAACGATAGACATTTTGTTTCCTCAGATGACACAATTCGCTAAAATATAGTGGGTTTTTTCTCTGAAACAATTAAGTTTTTCTCTAATTGTTGTAAATCAACAATTCTTATATATTCAATTTCTACCTTAGCTTGACTTTGATCCTCAGAACCTAGTTTATTCTTTTTTCATTTTTTGCTAAAATACTTATATTTCAATCATGCTAGAAGATACAAATGATCTCTAATGATCCAAACAGTCAAATTGCAAACCATCCTTTAATATTTTTTTGAATGTTTATTTATTTTTGAGAGAGAGAGGGAAGGACAGAGAAAGAGGGAGACACAGAATCCCAAGCAGGCTCCAGGCTCTGAGCTGCAGCACAGAGCCTGACATGAGATGCTTTAGGAACAGGGAATCACCTGTCCTCAAACACACGTGAAGCCCCGGGTCCTCAGACCACGCTGTGCACACTGTCTCCTGCCTGATTTCCCCTCCCTGAGCAGTTACGACCACGTCTGCTCAGAGGAAGAATATGCTAGAAGTACGAAACGCTCAGCCAATGAATGGTTCCCCGCGGCGTGCCTCGGTGAGCCCGTCTGCAGCTGCGGTCCTGGGCCGCCCGCCTGCTCCGAGTGCCCCGCTCTGAGCTGCTACGACCTGACTCTGCTCGGGAAGCAGGCTGCTTTTCGGGCCGACTCACACGGTCTTCTTATCGCTGGCTTCCCGAACTTTAACTCAGTACTTCCCCAAAGAGCCGCCCCCCTGCTTCACGCACAGGGCAGACGCCAGGCGGCCGGGATGCCAGCCTGGTCCTGGACGGGGCTGCCCGCCCTGACCTTGCCCTGCCTGTCCGGCCCTCAGCTCCCGGCCTGCGCGCCTGCACCCGCCGCTCGCTCACACCCCTGGCCTTCCTTCCGCCCCAGACAGGACCCCGGCGTCCCAAGCCCACGGACCAGGCCCATTTTCAACACTGTCGACTTACTCCTCAGGCCGAACCTCGAGGGATTAACCGTCTGGCTTTATACGGAGGAAGAAACCCAGGGGGGTTAGGAAGACAGCTGGGGCCTCGTCGCTGCTGAGGGTCCAGCGGGGCCGTGTGTCTGGGCCCCAGGCCGACGGGAGGGCACGGCTTCTAGAATCCTGTCTCTTCACTCCAAACCTGCCCCAGAGCAAATGCAAGCGCACCAGCAAGGAGGCAGCCTGGGCCTCGGGCAGACTGCCCTGTGCAGCTGTGTCTCCATGGGTTGGGGGGGGGGACAGAGACAGAGACAGAGGGGGAGAGGGGGGAGAGAGGGAGAGACAGAGGGGAGAGAGGTGGGGACTGAGAGACAGAGACGCTGGCGTAGGACTGACCAGAGGACCCCTGGGCCCCGACTCGCGGCTGTGTTGTCCGGGCCCATGTGGTCCCCGTGGCTGGGGCTGGGCTGGCGGGTGGGGTTGGAGAGTGGCTGGTGCTGCAGGTGACCCCGGACGGCGGGGCAGGAAGGCGGGAGGCACTCGCCTCGTCGGGAACGTGAAACGACGGAGGCCGGTCCTGCGGAGCCAGAGCCCCCACGGGAAACCCCACGCCCACGGCCGGGCTCCTGAGGGGCCAGGAGCGGCGGCGCTTTTCCACCCGCCGCTCGTAAAATGTCGGCACAGCGATGGCATTCTGACCCGGGGGACACACTCCGGGGACAGTTCCGTGTGACGGCACCAAGCAGCGGGGGCCAGGCGCCAGGCGAGGTCATGGGAATCACAGGACACCCCTCCTGCTCGCTCCTAACCCCCACCCGCCCTCCCCACACGAGCGGGACACGTTTCCCTCTGGACTCTGGGCTCCCCGAAATCCTGACGCCCCCAAAGCAGCCTTTGTTCTCTGCAACTTGCCTCCTGTTTAGCCCCCTCCCTGGAGGCCCAAACCCACCGCGTCCCCTCCTCACCTAGTCCACATCCCGTGGGAGACACACGGTCTGGCCGCCCTGTCCCATGATGCAAGGACGGCCGGACCACGGGGGACAGGAGACAAGTCTGCGGTCGCCAGACCGAGCTCCTGATCTGTGATCGCGCAAAGTTTCTCCGCTGGGTATAGAGGGTGTCAGAATATTTTTCTCCTTATCTGGGACCCTAGGAAGGTCTGTTGGGGGTGCCGGAGGGGGTGATGGAGGGGGTGCCGGAGGGGGTGTTGGTGGGGGTGTTGGAGGGGGAGCCGGAGGGGGAGCTGGAGGGGGTGTTGGAGGGGGAGCCGGAGGGGGAGCTGGAGGGGGTGCCAGAGGGGGTGCCGGAAGGGGAGCCGGAGGGGGTGATGGAGGGGTGCTGGGGACACCCCTGATCACCCCCAGATGGAGGGGAGCACCGGGGCCTCCCTGAACACTGCCTGGACCGAGGGGAGCACTGCACCCTCAGACTGTGCACCCCATCTCCAGGGCCCCGCCACACCTCTTGTGCTGCATGATGAGAATCGGACGACCCTATAAGATACCCTGTGTCACATCTTTTCCCTAAACCCCCATCACGGGTGGGTCTGTGTGACGTCTTCTGTAGCTCCCAGAGCAGTTCTCAGGAGCTTGGGAAGCCCTCCTACCTGTGAGGAAGGGGATTCCAGGAAGCTCAAGCGGGAGTTCTCCCCAGACGCATGGGCCTGCCTGTGCCTCAGTCTCTTGGAACAGCCTGCGTTCTCCGGGGTCAGCGCACAGTGGCCCCCACCCCCACCCCGCCCTCAGGTCCCCCCCCCGCCCCGGAGGCCCACCGCTTTGCTCTGAAAGGTCAGTGGGGCACCTGGGCGGCCCCAGTCATGACTCATGGTCCTGAGTTCCAGCCCCATGTCAGGCTCTGTGAGGCGCCTGCCCCTCCCCTGCTTGTATGCGCACGCGCGCCGACTCTAAGATACTTAAGTAAGCATTAAAATAAATAAATAAAATGTCAATCACTTTTTAAAATGTTTATCTCTTTAAACTGCATCCTGAAAGTAGCCGCCTGTTACACGAATGTCCGTAAGTCTACACTTTGGCTGGTTTTCTTATGGTTTTTCCAAAGTTCTGGCCAACCTGCCCGTTGGTGTGGTCACGCGCTGCCATCGCGGTTCCTGGGGAGGACGGCTTCCCTGGCACGGGCTCGGCCCTCGGCCGTCTCCTGCGGGCTCACACCGTGGTCATGACCCTCAGCGCCGCCGGCTGGAATCTCCGGATCTTTCTCTTCAGGGCCTTTGAGGCCTTGATGCGGCACACTTTGGGTACGGGGGGCAGGGGCGGCCTGCGGGCGGCTGGGGCCCTGGGCGGCTGCGGGGGACGTGCCCCAGGCCAGGCCCCGCCCTCCGAGTCACTGCTGCTGGACTCCCTGTCCCCGAAGCGGCTGGTGGTGTGGTCGCTGGCCCCGTCCTCGCTCGTCTCCGCGACAGTGGAGGGGAGCAGGGAGGCGCACTCGGCCGAGAGCTCGGAGCCCTCTGACTCGCTCCTGGCGCGGGGGGCCTGGGGGTGCGGCCTGGACCTGGTTGGGGTGCACACGGGCCGCGGCTCGCCCCCTCTGCCGACGGCCGGCCTGTGGGGCCCCAGGCCGCCTGAGACCTCCGCGGAGGACAGCCACCTGCGATGTTTCTTCCGCACCTCCCCGTCGGCCTGTGTGGGGACCCCGCGGCCCTCCCGTCGGGCCACCAGCAGGGGCACCAGGAAGGGCACGGGGTAGAGTCTGGGCTCAGAGCAGGACCGGCTGGGCACCACCCCGGCCAGCGTGGGTCTCCTCCTGAGGCTGTCCCCCCACTCGGGGGGCGGCTGGGGGGCTGTGAGGGGACCCCCCGCTGGCTGCTGCCCCCCAAACCTCAGCACCTTGTCACTGGCCCCTTTCCTGATCTTCACAGCCTTTGTCCTGGGGGGGGCGGGTTTCAGCCCCAGGAGAGCAGCTCCCCTGGCAGCAAACGGGAGGCGGGCGCACCCCCCGGGGCCCAGAGCGGGGCTCTCCCCTCCTGCCTTCCTGGTAGGTGAGAGGACTGTGCTCTCCTGACCCTTGACAGCCGCCTGGGCCCCAGGAGATGGGGCACGTCCACACCTCGGCTGAGGGGAGCCCAGCATGGTGTCCCCAGGGACGCAGGCGGTCGAGGGCTTGGGTCCCCTCCCTGGAAGACCCTGCTGTCCGAGGCTGTCCCTGCTGGCGCCCCGCCTCTGGGCCAGCCCGCCGGCTCCTGCTCTCCCCGGGGTGCACACCGGCTTCCCTAGGCCGCTGGGACTGTCCACTCTCTGGCCACCAAGTTCCTGCGGGGTTGGGGGCTCCTCACGTCTTGGGGACCCCTGCCCACCCACACCCCTCCTCGTGGGAGTCCCTTGGCCCCGCAGCCTCAGTAGCCTGTCTATGTAGGCTGCAGTGGGGCCAGCCTCACGGACAGGTCTTGTTGGGGTGGATGGGCCCGCGGGGCCGGGGGGCTTCAGAGGGGTCGGCTGGGCCTCGGGGTGCAGGCCGTCCCTGGGCAGAGCAAAAAGCGGGCTCTGCAGAGCCACAGCGTGCAGGGGGCTGGGGTACGGGTACACCTCCCTGCCCCCCGTGGACACCAGGTCACGCCGGTACTTGGGGTCTGGCACGTGGGCCGGCAAGTCCATCCCGTGGCAGAGAAGGGACGTGGACGCGGGGTCTGCACTGGCTTTCTGGAGTGCCACCGGCGACGGCAGGACTGTTTCGAGATCACCTGGGAACGGGGAGGGTGAGCAAGCGGGTGAACGGGGAGAGCCTAGGACAGCCCTGGGGTCACATCCTGCGCGGCAGCAGGACACGCAGGGCCCTTCGTGGGCCTGGGCGGAGGCCGGCACCTCGGCGCCGGACACGATCCCGGGGGGAAGGGCCCGGCTGGCCGCTCGCCCCCTTCCCGGGGTCTCCGTGCCGCAGCTGCAAGCAGGGCCCGCGCGCAGCATTCATTCACCCGGGGCTGCAGCGCCGCGGGCTCCTGACACACCCTCCGCGGAGGCGCCGGCGGCGAGGACCCCAGGGGAGTGTCCACCGGGACCACCGGGCACGGTTAAGCCTGCTCGGCCACTGGAAATCTACTATTTCCAAAGATGAGGTCTTTTGGGGACGGACTGAAGGAAAACGGAGGCTGTCCCCTGAGCCCGTGCGAGGCGTCCACGTGGGAAATGAACGCTCTCTGGGTCTGGGTGCCGTGCTCCCTCTGGTTACGGAGAGGCGCGGTCAGGCTGCAGAAGGTTCTGGAGGATTTTTACAATGACTTTCTAATGTTCACTTAAGGAATAAAATGCTTTTGGTCGCACCCGCCTTGCTGCAACGAACAGCAGCGGGCGCTTGCAATGCCGAGAGAAGCCCACAGAACGTTGGGGCGTGTGTGGATGAGCCCAGCGCCGGACCCACACGGGGCTCCCGCTCTGAGCTCAGTGGTGCAAACCACCCCCCCGGCCTCCCCTCCCGCAGTGGGACCTCCCGCCTTCCTGGCTCTCCTTTACCTGTGGACACCGGCCTGGGCCGGGACTCGCCCTCCTCGGCGGCCTGGGGTCTACAGGTGGGTGGAGGGGCTGCATGCACCGTGGTGTCGTCGGCTGACCGGGGCCTGGCCGTGGGGTCGGCCGGCAGCAAGGTGCTCAGGGAGGAGTACATGCGGTCACTGCACACGGACGTGCAGGAGGCCGACAGGGAGCAGGACCCACCGTCGCTCAGCTCGTAGAAGCCTAGATGGGGTGGACGGGGCGGTCAGCGCACCCCGTGGCGGCCCCTCTCCCGCCCGAGGACGCCCCTGTGCTGAAGGGGCTTCAGGATCTCGTGAAGGCGGGCCCCGGGGAAGGCGGCCGGGGACCCCTGAATGTCCGGGAGTCCTCCCCATTACTGTCCGCTCTCGCCACGTGGGTCAGGGTGCCCCACCCCCGGCCCCCTCCTTGGCAAGTGGCTCACTTGTCCTTTCGTGACCATCAGGTCCCGGCCCCTGCGGGGCAGGCGGCTGGCATCCTTCTCCCTCCCTCCCCAGCGCGGTGGGGCTCATCCCAGGCGCCGATCAGAGAGGCCAGCACACCTGCCCGACGCACTGCACGCCAGACCAGGCCGTGGCGGCGCAAGTTTACAAGAGGAAGACTCGGCAGTCGACGCCGTACACAGTCTCCTGGGTTTGCCACGTGAGCCAGCGTCTGGCCAGACGGGACCACGTGCCCTGGACCGGGACTGTCACCAGGGCTCCGGAACTATCTCCTCCCAGCTTTACGGTAAGGGTCGCGGGGCAGCAGACAGGAGGCAGGCCAGGGGCCAGTGTCCTCGTCATCTTCTCCGACAGGCTGTGCAGACCTGAGCCCGGGTAAAACAGCTCTTCACGCCCCCCCGTGAGCCCGACCCGAAGAGACCTGGAATCGTCTCCTGCCAGAGAGGCGCGAGCTCGCGAGGCTTCCCCGTGAAAAGCAGTCCTTCCCCGTTACAGCCTCTCGCCTTACGCACACGTGCTCGCCCCCGTTTCCCATGCGTTTCGGGAGAAGGACAGAGGTGCTGAGATTTCAGGAGCCCCCGGGAGCGGGCCCTCCGGGCTCGGGCCGCGCCGACGGAGGCCGGCCTGCGGACACAGGCAGGCCCGGGGGCCTGGCGGAAGGCGCGGCGCGGGCTACCTGAGCTGTGCCTGCTGTCGCTGTCGGCCGCCTCGCCACAGGGTCTGCGCACGCCCAGCTGCAGCTCGCTGATCTGCCGGTCCAGCTGCCCCAGGTGGGTTTTCGGGCCCACGTCCTGGTGCCGTAGATGGCTCTGCGGAGGGACGGACAGCGGGAAGTAAACGGTCACGAGGGCGGAAATCGAGCGCGATGCTCCCCATGGCCTTTGCACTGGGCGTACGGTTTGCACTCCTCACCCAGACCCCGTCCCCTGCCCTCTGGTCACCAGAGGAAAATGTCCACCGACGCTTCCCTCTCCAAATGTCCCCCCACCCACTGCAGGCTTTAAAAATCAGCAGTTCTCAATGACATGTTTCTTTACAAGGACAGACTGATACAGTCTATGAGCAAAAACTCAGGATCAAAAGTGTCACCTCCGGGCGCCTGGGGAGCTCAGTCAGTTAAGCGTCTGACTCTGGCTCAGGTCATGATCTCACGGTTCCTGGGTTCGAGCCCCGCGTCGGGCTCTGTGCTGACAGCTCGGAGCCTGGAGCTGCTTCGATTCTGTGTCTCCCTCTCTCTCTGTCACCCCCCATCCCCCATCTTGCTCTCTTTCTCTCTCAAGAGAAATAAGCTTTAAAAAAAATTTAAAAGAAAGGCAGCACGTGGCATGCACCACGGATACGTGTTTAGCCGCTGTCACATACAAGGCCAGTTTCCCACGCTCACGGGTAACAGACCGGCCTCTGGCTCCTGTGTCGCCATGTTGGTTTATCAGCAGATCTGGGCGACCTTCTGACTCCCCATGCGGACAGGAGACTCCCTTGGAGAGAAAAAGCCCCCTTCTGCACATACCCCCCATTTTATAGGTGGTTCCTACAGGCTTTGGGGAGCCCCCAGGGACAGGGACAGAGGCACGGAGGGACAGGATAGTGCCTGCACTCAGTGAGCCTCAAAATCTGCCCGAGAATTGTCTTGGTTTAGAGGTTCAAACTTAGCTCTGCCTTCAGAGGCTCTCTCCCCTCCCGGCCTCAGCTTCCCCAGCCATAAAATGGGTTATTAGGAGCATTAGCCACACACACGTGTGTGTAATTATATACCAACCATATAACACGCATATGTGGTTAATGTGCATGGTATGTACTCACACGTTTGCACACGTAGATGATACGTGTGCGGGATAGCTCGCACTGACTGTTTAACCAATGAGGATTTCCTTCTTTCGATTATGGAACGACACAGTTTTCAAGGTCTGCTGCACCAATTTCTTATTTCATCAACGATTAAGTTTAAGGCAAATCATTAATGAATGTAATTATGCGGTTCACCCTGTTTAAGAGAATGACTAATCGTGTTTCAGATTTTTATATAGAAAGTGAAGGGGCCCCAAATGATGGGACTCAAGGGAATTATTTCAGTAATTCCAATAGTATGAAAACTCCGTCCAAGGGAGAAGCGGGTGGCGGTACTTCCCAGTTCTTACGAGGGAATCACACGGGCATAGAGCATTCAGACACCAGCCCCGGGAGGTTAACTGGGTGAAGCCCGGGGCTGACACTCCCCCCCCGTGCATCCTGGGCGCCACGCTCAGCTGCCCTTCCCTCCAGGACCCCGTCCGGGGCTCTGAGAACACACTCCCAGTTTTACGGCAAACAGAGTCTCAGCCATGACACCGTCTGTAAACAACAGGGCAAAAACCCATCCTGAATTTAACAAAAACTGGATAACCCCAGAACCATCCGCGCTAGCCTCAACATCCCGGCTTATTACCGTGGATATTTTTACGAAGGAAAATATTACCCGGGTGGACGGCAGTAGCAGAGGGAGCCAGGAGGTGGGCAAAGGTGGGCTTCCCAGCAAACTGCCCTCCTCGTAAAGAAAACTAGATTCAGGAAAGGGGCCAGGGTATATTTTTACTGCAGATGACTTCTCTTTTCCAGTCGTAAAGTAAGGCCACGGTGCCAGTGGGAAATCAAGTTGCTCCGTTAGGTCACAGCTCGACGCTTATAAACATCTATCTGACCTCTTCTCTTGCAAATCACGATCCCCCCTCTTTCCAAAGGAGGGGGACACCCTCAATGCCCCGGCTGGCTTCCTTCCTCCCCCTGTGAACCCCTTTCCAAAAAAAGCTCCCCCGCCCCGTGTATTTGTGCGGAGATTAATTGCTTGGGGATTAATGTTTGGCCAGCTAGGCTTCAGTGGGCGGTTTCTGATTAATGTTCAGAGGCCACAGACACACAGGGGCCCGGGGATTCACAGATGATTTACGGCATCCTCAGGACCCCGCCCGTCTCCGGGGCTTCACCGTGCAGGATTTACACCATCATCCTTGACCTTCTCCCTGTCCCTCCCTTGGGATTTTTATGTCTCAGCTTTTCATTAACTCCCTCTTGGCGTCTAACTTTGTGCAGAGAGTCGACAGGATAAAGCACAACCCACTGCAAACCAGCCGCAGAGGATCTGCCTCTGTGTATTTCCGCAGGGACGGCGTTGTTACAAACGTCAGCGCTGGGTGGACGTGACTGCGGCCGTCGCGTGGATCCTCCCCAGCCCTGACCCCGGCATTCGGGCTCCCCATCGGGGCAGTGTTGGGTGTCAGAATCCCCCAAAGCCGCGTGGGGGGGTCGGGGTGAGGACGGCGCGCCCGCGGTTCCCCGGGGGGAGGGATCACTTGGGCATCGATGCCGGTTCCTGGGATGCTCGGCCACACCCGGCCACCTGCACCTCGACGAGCCTCCCAGGGACCGCCACGGTTTTCTGTGAACACGAGAAGTCTGGCAGCTGCGTCCAGGGAACGCCACTGAAAACAAATATTCGGTGTGTCCCTTTCTTTGAAATGTTTGCTTTATGTACCACGAGAGAATGATCTGACTCCCCCTGTGTGCCTTCTGCCTTCTGTCTACACCTCGGCACCCCTGTCTTCTCAAGCCCTTACGGCAGATTCAGAGGGTAAAAAATGAAAACTGCCCTCAAGCTCCAGACACAGAGATGGCCTCTAACACCTTTCCTTGCAAGCTGAGCGGATGCAAAGGACACACGTTACGCAGGAAGTGCGCATAGCACGTGCCCTGTAGGCAGGGACGCGGTCCCTACCCAGCTTGAAAGGAGGCCCATCAATCAGCAGCAAGGCTCCAGGGTCGCAGGTCAGCTTCGCGGATCACAGACGGAAGCCTGGCACGGTCCTGTGGGTGCCCTGGCCTCACCTGTGACCTTGAGCAAGTTCACTCCCCTGGGAGTTCACGAAGCAAGCAGGGCAGGTCCAGGGAACGCCCCAGACCTTGCGTTTACGGTTGCAGTCAGTGTGCTCCTGGAGTGTATTTAATGCCAGAACCCGCCGGGGAAAAGGAATCACTGCACACTGCCTCTTTTAGGACAAGTCGTGACCAGCCACGTCAACTACCGGGAAATTCTTCAGGGTAAGGCTTCACCACAGGGTCCCCAGAACCCTTTCCTCGCCTTCCACCGGAGGGCACCTCTCCCACTGACTCTGGAGCGTTCCCTGGTGGGAGGTGGAGCTCCCAGCCTCCCTGGGGCGTGCCAGGCGCCTGGGAAGATGGGGACGGCAGCCACTTCTCAGGGAGCTACGAATCTCCCTGAACATATAAACATGAACACAGCCCTGGCCACGGAGCAGCGGAGGCCGCGGGCATCGGAGGGAGAGGTAGACCAGGGACACAGTAACGTTCTCTTCTGTTAGAACAACAGAAACGCTCCTTTATTTGCTCACCAAACACTCATGAAGCACCTACCACGCGCTCCTTGGGGACTTCAGAAGAAGCAATTATAAGGTACAGCCATTTTGATAGGCGCTAACGTGCTAGCTCTGCGGACTTCCGAACTGCACTTTAAGTCCCCAGAAATGCTCCCTGGGGAACTCCTCTGCACAAAGCAGCCGAGGCTCAGACAGAAGTCCTTCCTGTGTTCACACCTGAACGGTGACCCCGGGGCCACGCCCACACGGCGGGAGCGGGGAGGTCTCCCTGAAAATGAACTGCCCCCAACAGGCTCCTCATTACACTCCTCACAGTGGCCCTGGTATTACTACTAGTTTTTTCCCTGCAAGAAAAATGTAAAAGTGTTAAGCCCTGAGCTGATGTCACACAAATTCAATTATTCTCTTTTGATCACATAATCCATGCCAGGAACAAAGTTTGAAGACAAAGTGTGCGTGTTCCTTCTGGTTCCCACATTAAAACAGAAAGCATTAAACAAACACAAAAAACCCTGTTTGATCTCCTCCAAAGGCCACTTGTATTTCGAGGCTGACGATGCACAAATCTGATGTGTGTGCTACTTCATCTCGGCCGCGCTCCCGCCTCGCGGGCAGCTACGGGGTCCTGCACCCGAGCCCGGCGTCTCCGTGGCCGCTGTGCCGCCGAGCCCCGGGCACAAGCAGCGGGCACCGGCTGCCAGGGCGGGTGCAGGCAGCGCAGGCCCCAGGCGGGAGCCGGCCCCTGCCCTCTGTGCGGCAGCAGCGCCGGCACAGGGTCTCCGTCCTCCGTCCGCCTCCTGGCAACACGGAAGGAGGGTCCAGGGCGGCATCTCAGGACGCTGCACTCCAGAGTCTCGGATCCAGGGGCAGTTCCCGAGTCAGTCACCTGCCTGGGCTCCGGGCCAGTGAGGGTTCCTGCTAACTGCTTTGTGAAGGCAGTGGCTTTTAAACAGAAGAGATTTCAGTTTCTAATTTAAAAACAAATTCCACTTAAGAGTCCTGGAATTAACTCCATCAGATAGGAATTTTTCTATACAGCCTTTTTGTTTTTCCTTTAAAGAAATATTGCAAAATCGGAAAAACTTGTGAGTTGTTTCCAAGGCACGAAGCGAAAGCATAAGGCGGATAGAAAACTGGAGGCGCGCCCATCCCAGCGTCTGGTCCTGTGAAAAGGCGAGGGCACTTGCGGGAGGCCAGGCAGCCGGCAGGAAGGCATAAGCGCGTCTCGGGGGTCTGTGCCCCCGCGGCGCAGAGGACATGCCTCATTTTACAGGTCAGGGTGCAATTTAAAGCTGGAGAAGCTTCCATGGGGGTACATGCTTTCCTCAACACGTTCTTTCGTTTAACCGGAACCCATTTCGGGGACAATCTGGGGTGCGCTCTGCTCGCTGGCAATGCGTCCCCGGGCCTGCGCAGCAGGGACACCTGGTTATCGGGGTCTGACCCCAAGGAGCGCCCGCCGCCAGGGGAACCCTACATAAAGCGGCCTCGCCAGAGCAGCCCTGGAAGTGAAACAAACAGCAGTGCGCGCTCAGTCTGTCCGGCCGAGCCCGGGAGGAGGCAGAGCCGGGGCGCAGCCCCAGCGCGCCTTTCAGTATCGGGACCCTTCTCCCTGTGCCTGGCTGCGTCATTTGGAACCGAAAGGGGTCCCCCGGAATCCCAAAGGGTGCCCGTCACTCAGTCGCACAGCCCTCACCAGCCGCGCTGCCCCCGCCAGGTGGCACGGCCCCCGCCGCCCCGCGCGCCCCCGCCGCCCCCGCCGCCCCGGGGCCCCGCGCTCCTTACCAGCTGCTCCTGCAGCGCCGCCAGCGCCGCCTCCAGCCGCAGCTCGTGCGCGCGGGGGCCGCGGGGGCGCTCGGGGCGCGCGGGCCCGGCCTGGGGGTGCATGGCCAGGGCGTCCCGCACGCGCGCCTGCTGCGTGGCGCGCAGCCCCTGCAGCTCGTGCAGCCCGGCCAGCGCCGCGCGCAGCCGGGCGCCCACCCTGCGGCGGTCCCAGCCCGCGGGCCCCGGCGGGGCCCCCGGCGCCCACATCCCGCGCCCGACCTGCCCCGGGCCTGCCCGGCCTGCCCCGGCCTCCCGGAGCCGCCTCCTCCGAGCCTCCCGGCCGCGCGCGCGGCCTCCTGCGCCGCCTCTCCCCGCCCCCGCCCCGCAGGTCGCCAAGGTGGGGTGGGACCTATCGGTGGCCGCGGAGGGCGGTGTCTGCACACGCCCCGGGGTCACGGCGGCCGCCCCCGAGCCCGCCCCGTCGGCCGAGCCCCGCGCCCTTGGGGGCCCTGGGACCCAAGCTCTTCGCTGAGTCCGGACGGGACCGAAGGAAAAGGGGGCCCGGCAGGAGATCCAGAAAGGGCCCAAAGGGGGAGCAAACACAGTGAAAGGTTGTGTTCAGGTTTAAAATAAAGAAATAAATTCGTGGGACGGTAGGCATTGTAAGGGCCATGTTACCACCATAAACTTCTCACAGATTTGGAACGTGTATTATCCACTTTTTCTAATGTGTGTCTGTAGTCGGAATCCACAGCTTGCTTTCCTTTTCTTTCTTTCTTTCTTTCTTTCTTTCTTTCTTTCTTTCTTTCTTTCTTTCTTTCTTTCTTTCTATAATGGCTTTATTGAGATACTGTGCAGGAATCATTACAGTTCACCTATTTCAAGCGCACAGTTTCATGGTTCTTGGTATGTGCACCACTATCACGAGGCTGTACAACTGTCACGACGATCACGTTTAGAACATTTTCACCTCTCCAGAAAGAAACCCTGTCCCATTAGCCTCACCCTCCACCCCCTGCGGCACCCCCGTCCTTCAGCAACTGCTAATGTGCCTGTTCAGGACATTTCTTGTGAACAGAACCATGCACCAGGCAGTCCTTCGTGCCTCGCTTCTTTCTCTTCCCTTAGCGTTTTCCAGGTTTTTCCGTGTTGCGACGTGATCTCCGTCCTTGGTTTCTTTCCATCGGGAGATTATACCCCTGTATGGTTAGACCACTTTTATGTATCCGTTCATTTACGGGTGCACATTGGGTTGTCTCCACGTTTTGGCTGCTAGGAATATTCTGCTTTGGACATTCATGTGCTAGTTTTTGGCTGCAAGTATGTTTTCATTTCTCTTGGGTGCAGACCTCAGAGTGGCACTCCTGGGTGGTGGGTTACTGCTGAGTTTTGCCTCTCGAAGGATGGCCAGACTGCTTTCTATGGTGGGTGCGCCATTTTGCATTGTCACCTGCACTGTTTGGAGGGTCCTGTTCCGACACGCGGAGGCCGGCATTTGTCCTTCTGACCACAGCCATCCCGTAAGTATGAAAAGGTATCTCACTGTGATTTCAATTTGCATCTCCCTAAGGCTAATGACGTGGAGCATCTTTTCACGTATGTTTCGGCTGCTTGTGTATCTTCTCTTGAGAAATGTGTATTCAGATCCTTCGTCCATTTTTTAAAAAAAAATAACATTTTAAATTTATTTCTGAGAGAGAGAGACAGCGTTAGAAGGGGAGGGTCAGAGAGAGAGGGAGACACAGAATCTGAAACAGGCTCCAGGCTCTGAGCTGTCAGCACAGAGCCCAACGCAGGGACCGTGAGATCATGACCTGAGCTGAAGTTGGCCACCCAACCACCTGAGCCACCCAGGTGCCCCCCTACTTTCATTTTTATTTTTTTATTTTAAAAAAATTTTTGGGGGGCGCCTGGGTGGCTTAGTCGGTTAAGTGTCCGACTTTCGCTTAGGTCATGATCTCGTGGTTTGTGGGTTCGAGCCCCACGTCGGGCTCTGTGCTGACTGTCAGCTCAGAGCCTGGAGCCTGTTTCAGTCTGTGTCTCCCTCTCTCTCTGACCCTCCCCTGCTCACGTTGTCTCTCTCTCTCTCTCCTAGAAATAAATAAAACATTAAAAAAATTTTTTTAATATTTATTTATTTTTGGGAGAGCACAAGTGGGTGAGGGGCAGAGAGCAGGGGACAGAGGATCCAAAGCAGGCTCTATGCTGACAGGCTGCCAGCAGGGAACCCAATATAGGGCTTGAACTCACAAACCACAAGATCATTACCTGAGCTAAAGTCAGACGCTCAACCAATTGAGATACCTGGGCGTCCTGGTCATTGATTTATTTTTTTTCTTTTGATGGTTACTATTATTTATTTATTTTTCTTAAATAATTTATTGTCAAGTTGGTTTCCATATAACACCCAGTGCTCATCCCCACAAGTGCCCTCCTCCATGCCAATCACCCCCCATTCTCTCCCCCACCCCCATCAGCCCTCATGGGGGAGAAGAAGGGGAAAAATAGTTGGGGAGAGGGAAGGAGGCAAGCCATTAGAGACTCTTGAATCCTTCGTCCATTTTTAAAATTGAGTTGTCCTTTAAGTACTGTGATGTAAGTATTCTTTATGCACTCAAGACACAATGTCGTTATCAGATAGAAGATTCACAAATATCTTTTCCCTTTTGTGGAGTAATATTTCTTTTTTTTATAGTATACAAAAGAAGTTCACTTTTTTCACAGCAAAAATGTTTTTAATTTTGATGCAGCTCAATTTGTCAATTTTTTCTTTTGTTGCCTGTGCTTTGGGCATCATATCTAAGATACCATTACTCAACCAAAGGTCAGAGATTACATCTGTGCCTTTTTCTAAGATTTTTATGGCTTTAATGCTTACATTTAAGTCTTTGATTTTGAGTTAATTTTTGTGCATGATGTAAGTTAGGGGTCCAACTCCATTCTTTTGCATGTAGATGTCCAGTTGTCCTGACAGTATTTGTTGGGAAGCCAATACGTTCCCCATTAAATTGTCTTGAGACCCTTGGTGATAATCAGTTGATCCAGAAAATCAGTTTCTGGATTCTCAGTTCTGTTAAGTGGCGCATATGTCTATTCTTAGGCTAATTATAATTGTTCTGAATACTATAGCTTTGTAGTAAGGTTTAAAGTCAGGAAGTCTCAGTCTTCCAACTTTGTTCTTTTTCAGTATTGTTTTGGCTATTCTGGGCTGCTTGCATTTCCCTGTGGATTTTAGTATCAGCTTCTCAATTTCTGCAAAGAAGCTAGCTGGGATTTTGATGGGTATTGCATTGGATCTGTGGGTTGATTGAAGAAGTATTGCTCTCTTAAGGCTGAGTCTTCTCAACTATCAACATGTGATGTCTTTCTATTTATTTAGGACTTTAATTTCTTCCAACAGTGATCTGTAGTTTTAGTACAAGTCTTGCATTTCTTTTGCTAAATTTATTTCTAAATAAAAATATTTACAAAATTCTTTTTGATACTGTTGTAAATGGAATTTTTTCTAATTTAATTTTCAGAACATTTGTTGCCAGTCTATAGAAATAAGCAATTGAATTTTGTGTACTGATCCCAGCAAACTTGCTGAGTTTGTTAGTTCTGATAGATTTTTAGTGGATTCTCTTGCAGTTTTTAAATTTATAAGATCAAGTCATCTGGAAATAAGAATAGTTTCACTTTTTTCCTTTCATATTTGGATGGTTTTTAATTTCTTTTTCTTGTCATATTGCTCTGGCTGGAACTTCCAATACAATGTCACACAAAAGTGCTGAAAACAGGTACCTTTGCCTCGTTCCTGATCTTGGGAAGACAGTCCATCTTTTACCATTGAGTCTGATGTTAGCTGTGGGTTTTTCTTAGATGCTTTTTTATCGGGAGAAAATTCCCTTTGATTCCTAGTTTCTTGACTATTTTTATTGTTGACTCAGATTATCTTATGATTTGCTGTTTTTGTTTTCTTGGTTCTCTGTGCTTATCTTGTCTGGCAATGGAGAAAAAAATGTTAGGCTAGAACTTACAAAACCTCAGCTCCGAGATCCGATACCTCCATTTTTTCAACTATATAATGAGTATAGTGAAGAAGGTCCAGGATGCTAGTTTTCTTTACAGAAAAACTAATGATTCTCCCTTTACATTTTCTTCCAAAAAGACTCAGAGAGAGAGTTAGACTGGATATGAGCCCTTGTTCAGTTATCTGTCTTTTCCTTATTTGTGGACTCTCTTAATGGTGTCTTTTGGAGAACAGAAACTCTTCATTTTTATGTAGTCTTATTTATCGCTGATCCTTTCTTTTTGCCATTTAAAAAAATGTATGCTCATCCAAGCTTTTCAAGATATGCTGCTTCTAGAAACTGTGTTATTTCACTTTTCTTATTTAGATCCGCAATCCACCTGGATAGGTTTTTGTGTATCATATGAGGTTGGGGGGAGGGTCACTTTATTTTTTCTTGGACACATATCTGTGTACAGTGTTTATTGGAAAAACACACAGTCCTTTTTGAGCTGTTATGCAGTGCCGCCTTTGTCATCAGGTAGTGAGGTCTGTTCTGCACGCCCTTTTCTGTTTGCCTAGTTTCCCTATCCTGGCACTTGTCTTAATCACTGTGGCTTCTTATGACATGTGGATACTCAGCAAAGCATGTGCCCAACCTTGTTCTCGAAGGATGGCTTGAGTATTCTTGGCACTCGTCAATATTATGTAAATTTTAGAATCAGCAGGTAGCTCTCTTCATACATTTTATTGGCATTTTGATGGGGATCAAAGCAAATCTGTAGTGACATTTGCAGAGAAATGGTGTCTTTATAACAGTTTCCTAATCCATGGACATGGATTACTACTCATTTATTTATAAAGATTTTCTACAATGTGTCTAAATATTATTTTATAATTTTGTGGGTAGAGGTCCTGCACATCTTTCACTAGGCTTATCCCTTATTTCTTAATGTTTTGCTAATTTTTTCCTGATACTATTGCCAATGTTACCTTTCAGAAATTTATTTTATTTGTCGCTGATATATGGAAACACCAGGCAGATAGTTAACAATTTTGCTAAACTTATTTATCCACTTGAATAATTTACGTATAGTTTTTAAAGATTTTTTCCATATACATTCATATTATCTGTGACTAATGGAAGTTTTAATTTTTTTCTTTTCCATCCTCCTATCTTTTATCTTTCTTTTCTATCTATCTGTCTATATATCCATCATCATCTCTCTCTCTCTCTCTCTCTCTCTCTCTCTCTCTCTCTATTTGGTTTTATTGC